TGCGTGCATATTGTGTTGCTTCATCTGATCCCTTAATTAAAATAAAATAAAATAAAATAAAATAAAATTATAAAGCAATTGAGACCAAAACGCATGGAAGAGGCTTGTCAGATGGTACTCTTCTATTAGTTTATAGATGATTCTAATGTGTGTCAAGTTAATCCCATACTTCATCCACATTTTAAATAGATCTTGTCTACCCAATTAGGAGAGAAGCACGTCCAAAATGATCAGATTTGGCTCCTTGAAGCTTTGATCTCATTTACCCAATTGATACACAAGCTAAGTCACATATTACCTATATCACAAAATATACATAATTCAATTTAATAACATGTAGCTTCATAAAATTTAATTAAAATGCAAAATTAAATTCATATTTAGAAGAAAGAATTCATTAGAATATCCAAGTCTTTGGGTGCATAAAATCATACAAAAATTCTCACACAAATGCAAACCCAAAATTAGGTCAAACAAGCACACTTAAAAAAGTCAATGAAAAGTGTTGATTTTTATTTAATTACTTCCAGACTAAAATAAATTTATAAAATATAATTTAACCACTCTTCTTCTGCACTTAAAATACACTTTGACTAATTTTTTCATACGTTTTCTTGAAAGTTTAATTTTTGAATTAAAATACCTCTAGTACACAAAACCTAAGCACTTGGGCAAAATTTCACTTTTAATGCAATGTATGTGCACCTTAAGCTAATAAAACATAATAAATGATGCTAATTGACATATAAAAATGAGTAATAAATGTGTTCTATCATATATTCTAAAGCAATTTCCCTTCTCCATCCTCGTCTCCTTCATCTGGTCTTCTACCCTTCCAATCAAACCAGTTACCTTACCCTTCCTGGTCTTCTTCCTCTACCCATGAACCCAGTGTGTGAGGCTACGAACTAGGAGAGTGGATGGGATTTTGATGTTGTGGTAATGTTTCAAGACAATCTTGATCTGGGTTATTAATTGCAAGGGTGCTTGTTCTCATAGTTGGGTTGCTATACATCTTTCCATTGTTTTCGTTCATCAAATCTGGGTTCGAATCTATGCCTTCATATCTCTTGGATTTGAAGAATAATTTCTTTTTTTCCCCCTTCCCAGAATCTTAAGCAGTTGTGTAGAGGAATCAATGGGTGCGCTGGGATGTTCGTTGAAAATGCAGTGTCACAAGCCATGACTTGGACATACACCTCAATTACAGCAGAGATTTGATGGCACCTCCTCCTCCTTCTTGTCCCTTTCTCTTCTTGCAATTGTGGCGGTGATGGAAACTCTTCGCTGTGGCGACGGCGGGTCTTCAGATTTGTTATGCACCCACACCTTTGCTCTTTTTTTGAGACCACTAGGTCTGTTGACCTTTGACCTTCAAAGGCAAAGGAGATGGCAAACGTTGAAGCAGAATAACATATTCAAAAGGTTGATGGTGGGAACAAAGGTTGATGGTCCAGGTTCGAAGGTTTGGGTTCGAAGGTCCTTTGATTCTTCTTCTTCAACTACAATCAGATTTGATTTTGGTTCCAAGGTCCTTTAATTCTAGGTCAAATTTTGCTGTAAAATGTAATCTGATTTTGTTGTGAAATTTTATTTTGATTTGTGTTGATTTCCTCTCACCATGATCGAATCAGTCCCCTTCCCCTTCCCTGTCTTCTACTTCTGCATGATTGTTCTTGCCCTAATTGTGTTCTTAATTTGTTGGGTTAGTGATTGTTCTGGTTTATCGATTTCTGGGAATTGGACTGAAATTGTATAGCTTAGATTTTGTTCTAGTTTATCAAGGAATTGTTTTGTTTCTGGGAATTGTTTTGGTTTATCAGTTTTCAAATTGAGGAAGGGAGGAAGAAGAAAAAGAATTGACATGGCAAAGAAAATAGAAAAAGACTTTGGACAGGGACTCCTACATGGCCATCCAACAGAGGCATTTACGATTGAATTTAATAAGTTAATGGTCAACTAACAGTTAGGGTGAAATTATATCAAATTGAAAAACATTGGGGAGAAATTGTGCCAAAAAACTTAAGAATATGAGATGTATCTGCATGGAAACTTTAAAAATATATGTGTACCTTAACCCTATATATATATATATATATATACAACATGTTTAATTGCTAACAAAATAACACATGACCATAAATCAGCAATATTAAAAATTATAATTGAAAATTATAATTTCATAACTTATCAATTATAAGTGATCGAATCTTTGTTGAATCATGTATGAGTTGGTTTAAATATCTGCATTTGCACCTACCTATAGCTATTAACATATGCAATCTAAACACATGAAATATTTATAATAGGTGGATTAAATCGTAGCCTTATTCTCGTATTATAGCTGTCAACATGCGGCTCGTGATCCTAACTGTATAAGAGGGTTAGGAGGGGAGGAGGTGGTTTCATTTCTGTAGAAAAAGTTCTCTCAAAAATGTTCGTTCGTTTGGGTTATTGCATAAATGATAGCTTTATTGTTATGTAGGCATTGTCGCCACGTCAAATGTTGGTGTTACATCATCATTGTTCATTCTACAACATAATAGTATTTTTATTAAAAAAAATTCAGCTTTTGAGACCCACATCTTAAAATTTAGGACTCCAATTCAAGTTATTCAAGTTTCCATGCAAAACTTGCCACCGAATCTAACTAGAGGTAGCCAAAAAAAAAAAAAACCTATACTTCTCCAAGTTTCTATTATAAGGCATCTCACTTGTCTCATTAAAACTAAGAAGGGATAGTTAAATTATTAACTTTACCTAAAAATAGAATAAATTTTTAATTTTATTCTCATTTAAATGAAAATTTTTCAAATTTACATTACATTCTCTCCATACTATCTCTCAATGCATCCTTCCATATCTAATATCATCCATTCATTTAATTATTTATTTGGTTTAATAGTGTAACATTGCTAATTATGATATTAAAATAATGGGTTAAGGTGCATTTTTACTCCTAAATTTTTTTTTGAGGAGCAATTTTATCCTTGTACTCATAACTTGGGCAATTTTACCCCTAAATTATTTTTTTGAATAGCAAAAAAAATGCTTCTACAAGGTGCCTAGCGCTCCTTAGAAAAATAATAAGGGGTAAAATTGCTCCTAAAAAAAATTCAGGGATAAGAATACACCTTAACCCTGAAAAAAATATATCATAAGTAAGCATTATGATCATATTTTCAAAAGCATTTAAATGATAATAGCGAATAACCTATTTATTTTGGTGTCATAATTAGCAATATCAAACAATCAAATCAAAATAATAATTAAATAGATGGATGAGATTGGATAGGGAGAGAGAGATATTGAAGAAAAGTATGAAGAGAATTCAAATCCCTCTATTAATTATTTACCCTAACAAATGTACATTCTTTTAACTCTCTCCATATAGCTCACTATTACAGGATAAGTTTTTAATAGTAGGTAAAAAAAACTTTTAACAGCAGTTCTGCAACCGTTGTTGTTTCAAGAGATGTTAAAAGTATGTGACTTTTAACAACAGTTGGATAATCGCTGTTAAAAATAAACTTTCAATAGTAGGTCTATGTATACTGTTGAAAGTTGCTCATGAAATTTTTTTTAAAAAAGAAAACTTTTAATAGTAGTTCTAGCCATAACCAATGTTAAAAATCCACTTTTAACTCTAGTTCTAGTCATAACTACTGTTAAAAGTTTACTTTTAACGAGGTGAGGGAAGGGGAAGGGAGGGGGCAACAAGGTAGGGGGAGGGGAGGGGAGGGGAGGGGAGGGGTGGGGGCCGACGGTGGAGGTGTGGGGTAGAAGATGATGAATAATGAAAAAGGAGGGGGCAATTTTTTTAATGTAAATTTGAATCAGATTCAACAGCAGGTGACACATCACCTACTATTGAAATCTAACTTTCAATAGCTAGTGAAGTATTACCTGCTGTTGAATATAAAGAATTTTAATTTTTTTAATTCTAGATTTCAATAGCGAGTGAAAGCCACCGACTGTTGAAAGTGAAATTTTTTTTATCTTTTTTAAATTGCCACCTTCAACAATAAGTGAACTTCAATAGTGGGTGGTTCTCACCCGTTGTTGAAAGTTTCACTTTCAACAATGGGTTTGAGCCACCCACTGTTGAAAGTGACAATTTTTTATTTTTTTTTTAAATTTTCACTTTCAACAATAGGTGATATGTTACCTACTGTTGAAAGTTTTATATTGGCTTTTAATATTATAAAAATACTATCACTTCTATTTTCAACAGTGGATGTGTTTTAACTAATGTTAAAAATTCTTTATAAAATATAAATTCTACACTAGTGGCTAATTGAATTGAAGCATGCACAATTTCATTCCGATACCTTTAATACTAATTTTCCAAATATTTTCATAGAATTTAAATAGAAAAAAATATAGCTGCAATCTTTTTTTAGAAAAAAAAAAGTTATTATACTTTCCGTGCATTGCAAGAAAAAAAAAATACTCAATTATATATATATATATATATATATATGCGAGCGTATGTGTGTGGACGCATGCATGATTATGGATAACCTCAACATTTGTCTTACTCAAAAATATAATGCTTCCAAATGGATCTCACACAACACACACACGAAAACTGGTTATGATTTGTACATATCTTGCATACATCGGCACACACTCTTGACTTGTGTGCACAAGTAACATCCGATGGAGGTTAATGGACAGAAAATAAGGGTCGTCATGTGAGTGAGCACTGGCAGAGAGGTGAATGGACTGTGGAAGATGACCAGAAGAGCAAGTACGTGTCAAATACCACAGTTTCAGACGCAATCGATGGCGTCAAGTGTAATTCTTATCTTCAATAGTTTCCGATCCATATAATAAATTAAATACCATCTTCTTCTTCTTCACCTTCGTCCTTAATTCCTAGCTCTTCACTGATATACTGTTAAAGTTAAACCCTACTGTTACACTCTCTTCCTGCAATTCCCTTCTGTTCCTGCAACCCGAACTGATTCCAGCCGCTGGTTGTGGTGGTTCTGAAGATGGTGGATGTGTGGAATGTGGTGGTTGGGTTGAAGCCCGCGATGTTGATGGTGGTGCTTCAGATAACATTCGCCGGCGTCAATGTGCTGTACAAGATCGCGGTCAGCGATGGCATGAACCTGAGAGTCGTCATTGCTTATCGATTTATCTTCGCCACTGCTTTCATTGCACCTCTTGCTCTCGTTCTGGAAAGGTCCATTCATTAATCATCACTATATCAGACAATATTTTGACTATGTGTCTATGTTGCTATGTTTCATTCTGTGTTGCTGTGAAGCAATAATATGAACACTGATATTACCAACGGGAACTGGGTATCTAGGGAAAGGTTTTAATTCTAGTGAGGAGATGTGTGAATTTAACAATGTTTTGAATAGGATTGCTTTTAATAGAAGTAAACATATAAACAAATAATAAGAAATATTAACACAGATCTTGGTTATATGTATGCACATAGGTAATTGAGAAATGAAATTAAAGTCCTAAAACAATAAATTTGTGACAATTAAGTTCCTGACAAAATTTTTAAAAAAATTAATTATAAATATTGATTTAAATAGTTATAAATTTAAGAATTTTAACTATAAATAAGACAATTAAATTTAAATATAACTCAGTTGCAACTTATTTTTAATTTTTTTTGAGAGTTAACTATCAAAAATTTCAAGTTTTGAGACTTTGTTGTCATTCTCCTTTAGATTTTTAGTTTTTTGCTGTTTTACTACAAGACAAAGCATTTTATGGTGGTAATGGAAATTAAATAATCTTCTATTTGAGCTAGATAATAGAATAAAACCCAAGAAAAGAAAGAGAAGGGGAAGGGGGGGGAAGGAAAAGGCCTTATTTGTGCTCTCATATATATATATATATATATATATATGCTTAATAAAGGAAATTAGAGTTTTTTTATTTTCTATTAAATTATGACTAATGGTTGATTATTTTGCAGGAACAAGAGACCAAAGATGACTTGGAGCATACTGTTTCAGGCATCTCTATGCGGGTTAATTGGGTATGTATCAAATAATTAATAATTATTATGTATGGTAAAAACTAGTTTATTAATATGTATTTTTTTTAATGACAAAAAGTTAATTAAAAAGGAAATTGATGATATGTGAGCTGTCACCTTTTCTTGAAGAAGCAGTTTTAGAAGGAACTAAATAATGCAAAGCATCGAAGTAGTTTCGTGGCGATGCGTGACCCTTTACATATCCGCCTTCCATTTGTAACTTTACGTGAAATTAAATAAGCAGTCTTTTGTAGGGATTCAGATTCTGGTATTGAATTTATGTGAAGTTTCTTTTTTGAGAAAGGGAGAGAAGATTTTATATTTTGGAAACAATAATAAAATAACTAAAAAAATTCACATAAATTTATCACCAATCCCAACTTTAAAGGATTTAAATCTCTTTTTTAGGTCTCAAATTTTTTTTAAAAAAATAGATTTTATTTGTTCTCTGTCACTCATTGCTCACCATTAAAATAATATTTTTATAAAGAAATGTATGTATTTTTTTATTTTATTTTTATTTTATTTTCACAGCTCAAGTCCAATCGGTTGTGTCTGGAGACTGTTTTTATAAATACTGAGTAGGCCATGGTTTGCTATTTTTGCGTATAACTAACAAGCAACACTTGTATTTCATTTTATTTATATAAAGCTATTCAGAGTATGTATGTTGCTGAATTCTGCAAAGTTATGCATTCATATGATAGGATTAAAATTTAATTTTAATATATGAATAATTTTAGAATGATTTACATGGTAAATTTTATTGAAATTACACCAATATCTCCTTTATTTTCAAAACTTTATTAGATATCCTATTAAATAGTAAATCAATTACATGGACTTTTCGTAATTAATTATGTTAGCGCCGGCCACCATTGCCCCGTGCATAATTGCATGGATATTTAATCGCACATTGGAGTAATAGGAAAAAAAGATTTAACATTTATATAATACATTGATGGTTACACAGGCTGCCTTTTTATGTATTTAAAACCAACACAAGCTTTCCCTACAAATGAAGAATAAAATATACACCATCACTTCATTTGCTTACTAGAAAGGAATGGATTGAAAAAGTAAAGGTAAAAATAAGATGATTAAAGAAGATAGATGATCACATTCATAAGAGGAGAAGTAATTTAGTTTATGGGATTAGAAATCATGATTTATGAGATTTTTAGGGGACATGATAATTCCCACATTATTAATGTATATTAATGAAATTTATCATGTTTACCATGGGGAAAATGGTGGTTTAGTTTATTTTTTGTGTTAATTTTTTTTAATCTATTTCATTACATTCCATTCTAGTAACCAAATAGGACCTATGTTCATAAAAAATTACACATTTTTCTTGTGTATTTTGTAAATTACCGAAGTATTGTATCAATTTTAATATAATTCATGGTTTGTACATCTTTTGGTAATAAAAGGAAATGTGGCTATCTAATTTCAGTCAAATTGATGGTTTGTACATCCTTTGTACATATTTTTTATTATGTGTGGGACCTTTTATAGTTTTTACATCTTTTGATAAAAGAAGCAATGACTACCATTTAAGGAATAGATGAGAGGCTTTGTGTGTTAGTTTTACAAATGGAGCGGAAATTAACGCATTGTTATGGAACCACTTCATCAATGTTTAACTGTTATGAACTATAACCTTGCATACAGTTCCAGGAACATGGGTTTAATTACCTTCTTATTCCTTTTTCAGCCTATGGGCTTTTGCCTCCATTTGAAATTCAAAAACAAAAACAAAAAATTGGAGGAGAAATTTATATAATTATAATGTATAAATTAACTAATAATTATAAATAGAAATGTTCAGATATTATCTTTAGTACTTGACAAGTAAATATAGAATAAATTAACTAATGTTACAATGTGTGAATTTATAATGGTCACTCATAGAGGAGCAGTGTCACAAAACCTATACTTGGAGTCATTGGCTTTAACATCAGCAACGTTTGCTTCGGCCATGGCCAATCTTACTCCAGCTATCACGTTCTTGATGGCCGTCTTCTTCCGGTGAGTTTCATTATTGCATTTCTCTTTCTTTCTTTCTTTTTTTTTTATACTTTATTCTTCACTCTCTTTAATTTCTCATTCTTATTTTCAATCTTTTTACTCTTTGTCTTATTCTGACAAATATGTGTGTGTGGGGGGTTAGGTTCCGTGATGGTTTTGTATTGTTGTAACTTTAATTAATTGGAAACACATTTCGAAGTTCGCCTCCACAAAGTTTTCCTTCTTTTACGTTGCCTTACTTAAACTTTTTCCCTCTAAATTTAGCTTCTATATATGTAATGTCCCTTTGATCTAGTGATTATGAGATCTATAAAGGTCCATAAAAGGTTGTTCATAGGGGGGAGAGTTGAAATTTTAAATTGATCATTTTTATTGTATGTCTTAAGAGTCTTTAAATATATGTGTTTTAATTTGTGAACAGTTTGGAAAGATTTAATTTAGGTACAACAGCAGGAAAAGCCAAGATTATTGGAACATTAATAGCAATAAGTGGGGCTATGATTCTGACATTTTTCAAAGGTATAAATATAAATTCAGGCTCCATCCACATCACCTTGTTGCATCATCATAACATACATGTGGCATCACCACAATCCTACTCCAATGGTAATAAGGCTCTCTTGGTGGGCACACTTTGTTCTCTAGGAAGCAGCTTCAGTTATGCTCTATGGCTCATCATTCAGGTCTTTCCTCTCAAAATGAATAATAATATACCAACCACATATTCTTCTATCTTAGTTTATAAATTTTTTTGGGCAAAATTATTTTGCCAACAAAATTTTTCAAATACACTTTATAATTTTATCTTTTTAAGAAAACACAAATATGAATTTTCAGAATTATACCTATCATTTAATATAACTTTATTTGTAAAATTAATGAAACTTTAATTTTATCAAAATATCTTATATTTTAAAATTCCGAATTACATCCAAAAGTGTCTTATAAATTTGAGTGAAGGGATTATATTTTACTTCTTGAAATTTGACTTCCTTTTTGTTTTGTTCTTGTGATATAGACAAAGATAAGCAAGAGTTACCCATGTCATTATTCAAGCATAGCTTTGATGAGTGTCATAGGGTCAATCACATCTATTGCTTTTGCTCTTTGTCTTGAGAGAGATTGGACTCAATGGAAATTGGGTTGGAATGTCAGACTTCTCACTACTGCCTACTCGGTGTGTTATTATTAATTCATATAAATCAATTTTTGTTAATTATATGGATGATGATGATGATGATGATGATGAATATAGGGAATAGTTGTGTCTGGAATAATGGTAGTGGTGATGGCATGGTGTGTAGACATAAAAGGCCCACTTTATGTATCTGCTTTCAATCCTCTTATGCTTGTCTTTGTGGCCTTAGTCGGTTTTTCCATGTTGGACGAGAAGCTATATCTTGGAAGGTATGTTTCATCTTCATACAAACTTGCATACACTCACATATGCACACAATTTATACACAAGCGCGCACATTTATAAAGCCTATTTGTATAAAACGTTATTCGCAACATGCATATTCCCCCTCCTAATTATAGAGCAAAGTTTTGAACCTCTATTTGATCCTAAATATAGTGTTAGGATGTTTAAGTATGAGTTAATTTAAATTAATATAGAAAGTTTCATATCAAATAAAATTGAGCTTAATAATAAAATGAAAGGACCTATCAACTTGAGTATTAATGTTTTGATTTAAAATGTAGTATTTTTCTGTTGCTCTTTGTTCATTTGTTCTCTTCCCATTTTCAGGTTGTCACTTCCCATTCTAACACACCTCATTCATATCTAAAATACAAGCCTTTTGTCATAACTAATTTTGGTCCAAAATATAAGCAACTTAGTATTTGTAGAAAAAAATTTTTACCCATTGTATTTATTAACTTAAATTCTCATGTTTGTGAATTGATGACCTTTTTCTCACTCATCATAAATTGAAACTAAAGGTAAAAAAGTAAAATAATGTATATTTTCATGAGAGTGAGAATTTTATTAGTATTTTAATTATCGTTAAAAGATGTTTATATTTTGCACTGGATGGAATATAGGGTAAAGATATAGTAGATAATTTTTTTCCAATATTACCCTCTTCAATTGCATCAAGTTGTTATTAAACTTTTAATTCCAAAACACACTTTATTATGATCATTAATTTTAGTGAAGGGCAAAATTGAAAAGTCTTACATTTTTTTTTTTTACAAATTTAAAGATATTAACTACTCACTCGCATGCACATAAAATTGTAAAGTTAGTTAACTTTACTATATAATTAATTAGGACAGGAGTATGAATAAACACATAAAATTGCACACACATGCATACACACACATTGATGGTTGTGCGCAATCATACGCACTAATTTTTTTAAAATATATTTGAGTTTTTAAGTCTGTGCGCATGAGAGACATACTTTATATTTTATGACATGGCATTGGAAATTTGCAGCATAATTGGTGGGTTGTTGATAGTGTGTGGTGTGTATGCGGTTCTATGGGGAAAAGACAAGGAGATAAATCCAATTGTTCCTTCACGAAGCCTTCACGAAATCACAGTGAGATCTGCTGCAGAAGAAAAACGTAACCCTCATAATAACCATCGTGAGGTTGAGTTTGTTAGGGATTACCATCATTCTTCAAAAAATACAAGTGAAGTAGTGCGAGATATATAGCGGGGATAAAAGGTAGAAATTATCAAATGATGAAGAAGAAGATGCTATACATTGTCAAGCAATACTTGTCATTAGAATTTTCGGTTGTTTAGAGGAAAAAGTAGAAAAATAATTGTGTTTGAGATATGTGAACATATTATGCCTATATTCCAAAACATATATATAATGCCTAGCTATCGTAATGGTTTGAAGTAAGGTTCTATGTGTATGTTTAGATACTCTTGAATATACCATTACTTTTTAGTGAAAGTGTGTCGCAATTTTCAACTCAATATCTTGTCCTTGGAAAAGCAAAAACATGTTATAGGAAGAAATTAACTTCAAATGGTACCCACACACTCTCAAAAGTGATGGCCATATTATAATATAATGGATATATGATCCGAGACTCCACTAAACCATGAAGGCTTTTGATTTTGTGCTCTCTCTTGGAGAAGATCGAGTGTTTTCTTGGACTTGAACCAAACTAAAGAGTACATGATATTCAAAATGGCATTTGCTTCTTCTTGTTATATTCAATATATATGAATGGCATTGGCGGCTATATATATGCTGACGATGATCTATACAATTAAGTCAAACTGTTACTATTGGACGCCACATAAGACACTTATTGAGTGAGTACACTTAAATCACTTACTAGATTCAAATCCCAAAAGAAGTTTGTGTCCTTGTAGTTAAGATAATGCTTCCAAAATGATGTGATTCAAAAAAGCATGAAAACTAGCCATGATTTGAGTGTGTGTGCCTTGCAAACAAATTAAAAATCCAGACTTTAAGGATTAATGTAGCTGCGCTTGCTTGCTTGCTTCTTACTTGGATCTACAAGCAACATACGGTGGAGGCGGCGACCGATTTTAACTGAGAGGGGTTTTCCAAGGAGAATTAAGGCCGGCTCAAAAATTTATTTTATGAAATTCTATGTTGTTGGCTTAAATTTTTTTAAAAATAATCTAATATGGAAAAAATAAATTCCTGATTGTTATAAGAAGTTATTTTGAATAGCTTCTACAAATAATTTAATGTAGTAGATAAGAGAAAATGTCATAAAAATAGGGAGATATACAAAAATATTATAAAATTTTAAAATAACTGAAAAAATATTTTATATAAATGGAGATTCATGAACATATCACAAAATCTAAAAAAATAAATAAAAATTATTTTTTATTATTATAACCAAACATAAAATAATATCAAACTTTTATGAAAAGTTTATAAAATAAATTTCTTTTTATAAAATATATAAATTATTTAAAAATCATTTATTTCTCATTCTTAAATAAAAGGGGATACATGTGTATGCTTTAGCACACTTTTGACTTGTGCTTACCAGCAAGTGGAGGCTACAACTAAATGTAGAAAGAGGCTAGGTTGAGCTAGGCTTTAATCAAATAAGTCTGAATCTGTATGGTAAATCAAAGGCTTGAACCTACCCTGAAACCTGTATAAGGCTTTTTCATAGCTCAAGCCTGAGCTTACTTAAAGTCTAATTTGACCTGAAAGCCTATTTAAAAGCCTACTTAAAAACAAGCATTTTAAATAAGCTCACATTTTAGTTTTAAGCATCTTATATATACTTTAATTTAGGACTATTATAGTATATAATATATAATATAATTTATCAATTACAATATATAATAATTGAAAGGACTTATCAACTATAATACAATATAACAAAGTAACAACATTAAGATTAATATATAAATTCAGTATAATTGAAAATATAACTAGAAATAAAAAAAATAGATTAATTAAAAATCAAATGGTGCTGTTAGAGGCTTGACCTATTTCCACCCCTAGCTACGACCCACTTTATAAAAGCTAGGTTTGGATGGAGAGAAAAGTGGGATGAATATAGAAAGCAGGGAAAACTAGGAGGAAAAATTTCCTTTCCTATTTTTAGAAGTTTTCTCATCTAGTTTTCTTTTCTCCTTATTTTTCTCTTCATCCAAACAAAAAGTTAGAGCACATTCATCTTCTGCGTGCAAACAAGTCTTATTCCTGTAGCAACCAAGAGCAAGGCTCTTGTTTTGATTTGTTATCCCATTTTATTGTTCTTCCATACTTCCAATTGCTTTAATACTCTAATTTTGGAAATGTTTGAGCTCGAACAGCTTTGAAAACATTGTTTTAAATTTGGGATCTCAACTTTATAGGTCTTAATTATTTAATATATTTTATCTTTTTCTATCATAATAAATTTTAACTATGGTTGGTTAGCTTCTAATTATCATGATAAAATGTTTGTGTGGTTAAGTGTCCTAGTAATGTAAGGAAGACATTACAGTGGCTCCCCAAATCCTCTATCTCCACCACTAAAGATGAGGATGAGGAGGAAAGGCATGTTATTATGTTATCTTAGTCTATATTAAACCTGAGATGTCTAAACTACTGACCAAATTTATTAACATTTTGTATAAATTTATAAATTTTTTAAAATATTAAATTTGGATTATCTAGATACATAGCTTTTTTAGGGCTAGTGGAGGGGGGAGAGGCGAGAGGAGGGAAGCCGAAGATGTATAATTGAGTTAAGATATTTGGAGGAGTGAAATTGTCCATGAGATGGAAATTTGGAATAGCCAATCATGGGTAGTGAGAAAGGATTGATATTTTAGAATAACAATATTTTTATACTTTGATTTCTCTATGTTTTTAGTATTATGAACTATTATTTTTTATTGAAATTTTTATTCAAAAAATTTAATTTTTATTCCCTCTAAACCACAATATAGAACATCTTTTATGAGCTTTCTTGGGTCCAAAATATAAGGCATTGAAGAACTTTTATAATTAATTTTTTAATTATACCCCTACATCATTTATTATTCTTTTTAAAAATTAATGCATTGAAATTTTAATTGTCATTATTGAGGCACTCAAATAGGATATTTAATGAGAGTATAATTGAAAAAATGTAAATTTTTTTAAAAAATTTAGGTTTCAACTAACTTGTTTGAAAACTATGAATTAGTTATCAATACTCTATATTGAAAGTGTGTTTTTACTACTAAAATCATTTTTTTTTAAGGGATGATTTCAATATGGGATCTCAGTGGCAATTTAACTAAAATTCAGTACCAAAGAAATCAGATAATACACTGCAGGCATTTGGGACTAAAATGAAAATAATTTTCTATAGTAAATGACTGAACTGCCCTTAGTTTAAAATGCGAGAAAACCCTTCTTCGACAATTGAGGGACGGACGCACATACTACTTAGCTATCCTGGCTGCCCACAGAGGCAGAGAGATGATGAGAGTAATTCTCATGGTGTCTTCAATTCGACCTTCTCTCTCGTCCTTCATGTTAATCGGCGATTCTCGTTTCTTCCCTTCCCTCTCGTTCTCCAGCCCTTCTCGGTGCCTCTCCTTCTCTCATCTGGGCAGTGGTAAGGTCTCCCTCCCTGACCTTTTTTAGATTTCAATGTCCTTGTTGTTAAAGTTTCGTTACTTTTGCCAAGTATTAAATCATATCGCGATTGGATTTTCATTTGGTTCATACATCTTTGTGCTTGAATCTAAGTGGGTTTTATGTGGGTCAATCAAGGGCATCCCTACCGGCGATGGCGTCGACCTCGAATCTTTCCACTCCAACTACTCTAACTCCAATTTTCACTCCACTCTCTTTCCTCCGAAGTGGGACTGCAATTAGGCTCGAGGCACCAACTCATCTACACCAGATGCTGATCCACCTTCAATGGGTGGCTTCCTTATAGAGCTCTTCAAATGGGGAGTAGCCTCAGCCAAAGTTCCAAACTTTCAGGCAAAAAGTTCCCTAGGAAGCAGAGAAACCTCAAATTTTTCGTTGCTTCTTTTGTGAGTAACAATAGAATAATTGGCTTTGCGAGAAAGGACAAGAAAAAATGTCTCCCGTATGAATCTTCTTCTATTAACCTTGTGCTGGAAAGAAATGAAGAGGACACTACTTGTTGGCATGTAGAGGAGGAGGAAGGCAAGGAAGAAGAGAGTGGCCGGCGGGAACAACTTCAAGGGGTTTTTGAAGAGTAAGTTAGCATTGATTGAATAGAGTTGAGTAGAATGGAGAGCTTGTGTTTAGAAATAATAATGTGTGGAAAGTCAGAGGAAAGGAAAGTCCAAGGTTTTCGGAAAGAAAAATAACGAATGAGGTGTTTCTATATTTTGCTTGAATCTTTATCACCTGCTGATACTCCTTGGTTACCACTTTGTACCTGACTTTTAAAGAATGAGAAAGTTAAGGCGAGTGAGTGACAAGTATTTGTTGGAATATCTATATATATTATGGATGTGATTAATTAGATATTGAACCTAAAACATATTGATTTTTATAATTTTGTGTGAATTGTGATAGGTGAATCATATAAATGAGTCCAATAGATAGAGATTCAATCTACAACAGTCAATTATTCTCTATCTCTTAATTGATTGAGTCAAAAATAATGTAAAATTAATTAATTAATTAGTTAATTGTTGAGGTAATTGTTGAGATGATCTATATAATACAATCTGTCAATAACTACCACACACATCTTTTTTCATTCTCTCCATTATATATGCACTCCATAAAAATTATGAAGGCCTAGCAGGTTGTGAGGCTATCTAAATTTGAGTTAATTGAACTTTTATTATTGACTTATATTTTTCCTAGATCAATGGATTCACAGGTATGCTCGCTAACATTTACTTTGATCATTTTATATTGTTTATTGAAATATTTTCAACATTTGGTATCAGAACATAGTTGAAAATATTCATGTCAGTGGTCTGAATTAATTATCTCCAATCAATTTGATGAAATCATGACTTTTACAGCCTCAACATAAAATCCTATAAATTGATATCTCTAAAATTTTGTGAATAATTACAATTTATGTAAAGTGTTAGAAGCATGTATGTAATCGATAATTGTATATGACGTTGAGATAATTAAGATTTCTTCAGATGAAAGAATTTCTTAATGCATGTTACCATTTAATCTGCCAAATATTGAGTTATCATGAAATTTCGAATTAAAAG